GGAGGGCATCAGGCGAGTCATGGAGGGAGTCTCCATAAAGGAGGTAGTCTGTGGGGATTCAGACAAGGTGAAGCGCAACCTGGAGAACTTAATCACTAGGTGCCAGGGAGCGCTGAGCCGAATCCCAACAGGAAAGGGGGAGACTGGGAAGAGACTCCCAGTCGTCACCAGCGTGGATGAGATGAAGAACAAGGTGAGGCTGAGGGCGAGAGACGGCGGCGCAGATCGTCCGAAAAAGCAAGGAGACCAAGCCGAAGGAGGAAAAGAAGCCCTCCAAGGAGGACCCCGGCTCTAGCCAAGCCAACCACCTCCTGGGCGGAGGTGGTGAGAAAGGGGAGGAAGAAGCCGGAAAAAAAGGAACCAAATCCGGTGGCAAAAACAGGGAAGCCTGCGACTACGGCGACCATCAACGGAGCCGAGAAGAAGGGGCAGAAGGAGCAGCCGAAGAGGAGGTTGCCTAAAACCGCTGCGGTGGCGATCTCATTCCCGGAGGGTCAGGCTGCTGAGGGGATGAGATTCCTAAGGTCCCAGATCAAACTGGAGGACCTGGGAATAGACAAGGTCAAGAGCAGGAAAGCCTTGAACGGAGCTACCCTGCTCGAGATATCTGGAGGTGCCGAGGCCAAGGTCAGGGCAGACGCGCTTGCCACCACAATAAAAACAGTTGGGGAGGGCAAAGGCGTCAAGGTCACCCGCCCCGAAAAAAGGGCGGAGATCAGGATTAAAGACCTAGACGAATCCGTCTCGGAAGAGGAAATTCGGGCCGCGGTGACGAAGGCTGGTGGTGGGCTCCCGGACGATGTAAAGGTGGGCCCCATCCGGCGGACCCCTGGCGGAATGGGCACGTGCTGGATACAGTGTGGACTCGAGGTGGCGAGAAGAACAGCTGAGGCGAAAAGGATAAGGCTGGGCTGGGTGTTGTGCAGGGTGGAACTGCTCGACCCCCGCCCGTTAGTGTGCTTCAGGTGCCTGGAGAGGGGGCACATTAGAGCGCAATGCAGGAGCAGCACCGACAGGAGCATGCTTTGCTACCGGTGCGGCAAAGAAGGGCATAAGGCGCAGGGATGTACCGAAACCCCTGATTGCGCAGTATGCAAAGGGAGACCACAAGGCTGGAGGGGCGGCGTGTCGACTCCCGAGCAAAAACGAGAGGAAGAGGGCAGCCAGAAAGAGTAGAGAGGAAGGCCGGGAAAAGGGGCAGACAGCAGGTCAGCCTAGGCAGCAAGAAGAGCCCACGGAGACCGAGCCGGCGGCGCAGGGAACGCACCCGAACGAGAGAAACAGCCAGGAGGAGGCTGGGAAGGCGTCGCCTTCACGGCGTTAGTGGCGCTCCAGGCGAATCTCAACCACGCCTGCCAGGCTCAGGATCTGTTCCTCCACAGCCTGGCGGAGCGTGGTTGCGGACTTGGCATCGTCGCTGAGCCGTACCGTGTTCCTAAGAACCCCTGTTGGGCGGGGAGCACGGACGGTTCGGCGGCGATCGTGTGGAGGAGAACGGGGGAGCAGGCTCCCCCCTTCTCGAGACTCAAGGCCGGGGAGGGCTGGGTGGCGGTCAAATGGGGGCCCCTATTTGTAATAGGGGTCTACCTGAGGCCTAGCCTTACCCGTGCCGAAGCGGACGCGAGACTGGAGGAGCTGGAGGATTTGGTCCGGGAGTATCTCCCCGGACCAATTCTGGTCGCCGGGGACTTCAATGCCAAATCGGCACTTTGGGGTTCCCGGCGGCCAGATGCCAAGGGGGCAGACGTGGAGGCCTGGGCCGCGCGCCTAGGCCTCCACTTAGAAAATGTAGGGAGCGTTAGCACCTGCGTAAGGCCGCAGGGGGAGTCAATCGTCGACTTGACGTGGACTTCCCCTGCGGCCGCGAGGAGGATAAGTGGATGGGAGGTGGCGGAAGGCCTTGAGTTGCTTTCCGACCACCTTCCCATCCATATAAAGTTCACTTGGGAGAACGAGAGGAGGAGTCTGCAACAGCGAATGGTCAGGTGGAGAGCGGACAAGCTGGACCCGGATAAGCTCAAGGAGTCCCTAATTGCGGCACTGTGGGCGCAGCCGGACCCTGCGCCCACAGTGGAAGAGGAGGCCAGATGGGTACAGCGGGTGCTGGTGAGTGCGTGCGACGCCGCTATGCCGCGCGCCGGATTCGTGGCCCGCAGGGCGGCCTACTGATGGTCGGAAGAGATAGACGCGCTGAGGAAATCCTCGGTGGCCGCCAGGAGAGCCGTCCTGCGGGCTAGAAGGAGGAGAGGAACTCCACCTGCGGAGGAGGAGAGGCTCGTGGAGGAGTACCGCCAAAGAAGGAAAGCGTTGCGGGCGGCAATTAGAACTGCCAAGGAGAAAGCGTGGGAGGAGCTGATTAGCTCCCTTAACGAGGACCCTTGGGGGCGCCCCTATAAACTTGTAATGAACAAGTTGAGTTCGGGGGCACCTCCGACGGTGGAGAATTTGGACCCACGCTTTCTCCAAGAGGTGGTGGAAGCCCTATTCCCAGCGGGGGACGATGGCGGTCCTCCTCCACGGGATGCGGAGCACGGGGAGGAGCATCAGCCCTGGCAGGAGGAGCTGGGGATTACCCGGACGGAGCTGGCGCGAGCGGCTAAGAAGCTCAAGAAGGGCAAGGCGCCGGGTCCGGACGGGGTCCCCGGCATAATTTTGAAGGCAGCCCTGGGGGAGCTCTCCGACAGACTGGAGGGGTTGTATACCCGGTGTCTGGAGGGGGGCATCTTCCCGGGGCTGTGGAAGAAGGCGAGGCTGGTGCTCCTCCCCAAAGAGGGCAAGCT